TCAATGTATACCCGATCCATCTCCGTTTTCTTCTATATATTTATTGAGCAAGCGGTTCTTGGCTAGTTTGTTGCCGGAGTTTCTTGTCACTAGTTGTTTCTGGACAGCTGGGCGTATGCTCTTCTGTAAGCAGCCGGCGAATTCAGCTACTTGTTGATTATCGTCTGCTGTTGCATGTTGGAAATCCTTTTCGTGACATGTAATGCAAGTTTCTGACCCAAATAGAAAAACTGACCGACTAACTTCACATTTGTGCTGAAGACCCGGAATCACGTTCTTTATGATGGCTAACTGATTGCAGAAGATTTCCAAACTTATTTCAGAGTAATGAATATCTGTACCGTCTTTCCGATTTCGGTTTTGACATCTTCGTTCCGCCAGCTTTGGTTGAAATAACGCTTTTTGTCTAGATAATTGAAGGAAGTAACCATTGTCAAATTTCTTGCATTCATGGTGATTGGGGCTGGCTGTTTTTGTTGTGGCTGTTGGTTGATTATCTTCATCACCCTCGTCTTCTCTATGTTCACCTAGAGTGCTGTCCTCGCTGTCAGCTTCTCCAGCCAGATTTGGTTTTCGACTGTAAGTGTTTGAGTTTGTGTGACACTAGACATATATCATCCACGGGCGAAATCCATATTTTCTGGAGTATTCTTATCGTTTCAATGCATTCTTGTCTCCTTACTTCTAAACACAGTCTGACGCACAATCGAGTTCATGACAATTAAGGATATCATCATTGGTAATAAAAAGGTAGCCCTGTCTTATTTCGGTATTCGCTTAGAAAGTTTGATTGAGTTTCCCATTGTGGATCACCTCAAACGTGGCATTGTCATATAACCAGCTGTTGTATGAAGTTGATAAAGACTTGCACTCTGCACGCCATAGTGTTGAATTAGTTTCCAAATTACGTCTCGGTCAATACTGCTAGCTGAAGTCCTTTTCGAAGTCGATCAAGTTGAGGTAGAGGTTTGATGATGATAAGTAGAGTTGCACATTATTTTCCTTTGCTGAATACAGCTTGTTCCGGTGGATGGCGGAGTTCTGTATCCAGCGCATCCTTTATTCTCTCCAGGATGACGCGACTAAGCATTTTAATTGGCGTGGACAAGAGCATTATTCCATCCTAGCCAGTTCTTGCAGAGATCTAAGTTGCCCTTCTTTGGTAGCTTGACAAAGTTGACAACCTATCTTCCATTCGGTAAAAATCTTTCCTTGCTTCCAAACCTTTTGCAAACATGGCGTGATCACACTTGATACAAACTCCGGGTCCATTTGCAGTGCTTCGGGGGTATTCCATCTACTTGCTGCTTTCTCAGACTTCAGTAGCTTAACGGCATTCAAGAGTTTTACTTCCACTGGAGGATTGGTGTCCTCTGGCAGGCATTTCTGTGAGTGCTGTTAGTGTTTTATCTGGACGAGTTGCTGGTGATGGTCAATTCAAGAATCCTTTGAAGTGGTCATTCCATTTGTTTAATTCGTTTCCCTTCCTTGGTAATTATGTTCCCTTGAACATCTCTCATAGGCTTCACCTGCGTTGATTTCTTCCCGGATAGAGACCTGGTTATCTGATATAATGTTCTCAGGTCTCTTTTACTTGCACCCTGCCTGCTTGTTCTGCTTTATTTGCCGGCCAGTGTGTGGTAGAATAGTCTTTCGCCTTTCCTAACAACCCTCTTCACTTCTTTATTCAGTGCAGTCTACACTAAATTCAGCTTCTCCTTTTGTTGTGCATCTTTGCATTGAGCCATCTTCTCTTTCACCATACTCCTCTCTCATCTTCTATTAGCTTCCAGGTTGGTGTCTGCTGAGAGCCATTCCTTGTCTTGCCTCTTCTTTCCACATAGAAGAGTTATATACGTTCACTTGAATATCGCCTTCAGAGAGTTAGTTCCAATGTTCTTCCACACAGGTTTCCTCAGTAATATCACATAGTGTCTCCGACTTTGCTGTGATCTGATCTGTAGTGAAGGGAATCCCTCGTAGATCTGTTCTTCAGTTTCTGAGTGTTCAACTTGAATTGTGGTATGTCTGCAATTATTTTCATGGATTTCAGCTTCACCTTGACGGTTCCTTGAACTAGATGATCGTCTCAGCCCACATGTGTTACCCTTCTTCACTTTGTATCCAGCAGGCTAGCTGCGTTTCCACTTCTTTGAGCAGCACTGAGATAAAGTTTATATGGTTTTTGGTGTATCCATCAGGCGAAATCCATGTCTTTGGCATTGTGTATATCCTTGTACTTTTACACGCTGCCTCCTATCACCAGATCATTGACAGCTTAGAAGTCTGCGAATAATTCTACGTTCTCACTCATTTTGCTGGGCCAGAGCGTCTCGTTCATGAGGAGTTCTCTTCGTGTATTATTTGCCCGCATTAAGGCATTCATATCGCCCATGAGGATTCTGATGTCACCATTCGGAGTGTTGTCCAATACTGTTTATAGCTGACTATAGAAATCTTCCTTCTTCTCTTGTTCCGCGTTGTTTGTAGCACTGTGCGTAGTGTTAGATAATTGTAGCCTTCCTTCCTTTTGAGTTGAATCCTGCCGTCATAAGCCTGTAGGAGGCTGTCGGTACCCACTGCATAAGAGCTTTGGCTGCCATTCACTGCCTCAGAGTGCTCGTGGTTGGTGTCTGGGTGACCAGGCCGCAGTAGATTACTGACTCTCCAGTTGACCATTTTGATAATCCACATGCATTCCATCTGTTGTCGCAGATTCTCAGAACTTTTATTGCATATCTTTTCACAGTCAGAATTTATGACAGTCTGTAGATATCTGTATATAATTCTGTTAGAAATACCGAGGTTTTGTAAGCCCTGGCTGACAAAGATAAAATTACTTTGTTTCTGAGAACGTCGTCAGATAATGGGTCGCAAATCCTTCTTCCTGTTTTCTCAGTCTGTTAGCTTTGTCATATTCATCTAAATTGGTATATGTAACAAGAAGCAACATGTCAGGGGGATTATTTCAGTGAGCAGCGTGTTCTGTAAAGTGAAGTGTGACTAATTTAACAACTATAAAATTCCCCTTCGGCGCTGTGTTCATTCCGAACACTTCGTCACTTTCGATTCTGAGTTTTAAGAAAAATGGATATTTCTATACTTTATATGAAAATTACATTCATAATCGTAGTTGGGAGTTAACTCACATGTATTTGAGGATATACTCCGTCTACTGACTACTATTCGACAGTGGCGAGTTCGATTCTGATTCCTTTCTCACCGGTCTACTGTTTAATTAGGTAATATTGATGAAATACAACTCTATACTTAATAACTGAATTAATATGAGTATTGTTGTGTCTTTCAGATTATATGCAAAAGTGGAAAAGTGCACAAAGATTTGAAGTATCCTCTTACTTCTATGTAAAGTTTGATCACTGTAAATTCATAGATAATACTGTTAGAATGATATCAGTACCTTCGGTTATCTTCTACTGTGACTGTGATATATTCCACACTTATAAACCCTCAGTGCATCTCACATTCTTATAGAAGAAAAAAAGATTAGAATCTTTCGGTAAAATTATCTGTAATCTACAATGGGGAAATCAATAATTACGAAGTTTCACAATGATTTTCATTGGTTATTTATGTGACAAATCTCACAAATCTCTGCTGGCTAGTGACTGGCTGCAGGATGAATTTGCCAGGAGTCCTTGTGAGAAATCGTGACCAGTGGGGCCCACACAGTGGACAGTGAGGATAAATACTCGCCGATGGATGATATTGACTAGTGCCAGTGGCGCTAAAATCACAAAATGGTAGAAGTTAGAACTTATGGGTTAGCCGATGAGTTGGGTGCCAATGTCTGAATGCTTTGCGAGCTAACTTGACCTGTAACCGGAAGGTTTTGGGTTCAAACCCTGTCGGTGGATGCGTACTGCTGATGCGTCCTAAACTAATGGGACAAAACAGCTGTCCAGTGCTCCTTACCGGTTTTAAGTGGTTCCTTGCGGATATTGATCCGTGATCAAACTTGAATTTGCGAAATAGTTACAATTCCGTTTTCAAAACACCCAACAAATAAATGCATACACGAGTCTGATCACGAATTAATGTCATTCTGAAAAGCATTGGAAAGCCATGAAGTACAAGACACTCATTTCGTCCTAGTTTGAGACTCCTCAGCACTACCCACCCACTGGGTTTCGGATCCAGGATATCTGAGTCACAAGGAAAGCTCATATACTATTCAGCCAATTGGACCCAATGTAGTGGCTCATGAATTCTAAGATTTTTCAATATGTGATTTCAGCGCGACGAGTATTTGTCCCCAAGCCCCTCCTCGTGGATCCCGCTGGTAATAACGACTTCCCAGTAGAAAACTCATGGCAACTTTTCGTGTAGACAGTCACCAGCGAGAGCATCAAATTAATTTTTTCAAGCGTTAGTTTGTAGTGATTGAATTTTTTTGTTTACAAGTATAATCTAAAGATGGATGTCAGGTTGTGTAACCATCTTGACATTTGATTGACTCAGCTGTTTACACATTTTTTTAATCTAAACCAAGCATTATTAATTATTGTGCAAAATCAGTTCAGTAACGCATGCACATTCAGAATGATTACTGATTTGGAGTTTTCAGTATGTGTATCAAAATGTCACTTCTGCTCATTACTTATTACTTTTTTTTTCATTTAGAAAATTGACGTTTTAATGTTTGGTAGTTAATAAAAATGTTTTTTGTCGTAATATAAACAACACCACAGATGATAAATATCCTGTAGAACGATGCATGTGATAACTGAAGTTCACAATTATCATAAACATAAGTTTTCATGGCTTCAATCCCTTCTTGAGATAAATAAATGCACATATACATATATTTTTTCGTGTATGTGTTTAAACCAAGGCATCTGTTGTGCCCTGTTCATCATGGCGATAACCGGAACAATATAAATAGTAATTTTTACAAATTAACAACTAATATTACTCTAACTTTCTGGTAGAAATTTAAAAATTTTAATTCTGAATTGTAAACGAAATTGATAACAAGTTGGAATCGCAATGGGAACACCACATTTGATTGTATACATTACATGTTTAATGGGCATATTACTAAACTTGTGTAGTGGGACACCATTTCCTGAAAAGTCCACCCTTAACAGTCCAACAGTTGATCGTATATTTTCTAAAGTTGCAATAGCTGAACAATACAACCTTCTAAATACCAATAATAATAATAATGATAATAATGTTAATCATATTGAACCAGAGATAATGCCAATATCTCCTGTACGATTTGGTGGTCGACATCGTCGGCATAATCGTGAAATGCGACGTCTTTTACGAAAACAACGACGTATGATGAGAGAACAACGCAGAATGTATCGTCGAGGTTATGGGCCTTTCTATAGGAATCGTTTATAAATAAAAAAAAACTTTGGTAATTCCTCCTCCTAGTAAGTTTCACAAGAGCAATATCGATTTCTTCTAATAAAACGTTCTAAAAGACTATTTTAAAATTGGCGCCTATTATTTAAACAAAATAATTATTTATAACTATTCCATTCAATGTTTCAATTTTTTATTACTCGTTTAGTTATTGTTATTATTTTTATAGCATTTTTATATAAAAGTGTCATCTACTTATTATTGTGATGTTGTTAACTTTAACAGAAGTAGAAAGAGTTATTTGTATTAAAAAATATTTTATTAATTATTTAATTATTATGCTTCATTAATGAAGTGAAAAACATCTTGCTCATTCATTAAATTTAGACTGTGAGTATACGCCTTCTATTCTTTCGTTGATCTCTGTAAGTAATTGGGATACCTCTGGATTTGTAGTCAGAGACTGCTGGAGTTCAAGGTGATTTAAAGTAAATGAAAAGACTTAGGATATTTCATACATTTGGTTCCTTTGATAAATTTCGATAGAGAAAGAAAGACCAGATTTGCAGTATAAAATGATATCATTCTATTTCACAGGTCCTCGTCAGCTGCAAACTACCTGAAATTACAATGGTTATAAATAATAACATTTCATACTTCATTGTTTGAAAGGTAATAGAGAAAGCATTATAAGATGAACACGTCCGGAACATAAGGAATTAAATTTTATAGTTTAAGTTACCATCAATTTATATACTATCAAACTATGAAAAAAGAAGAAAAAGGGGGGTGAGAGAAGACAGAAAACAGAAAAGTCTAGTAAATAGTGTCAACATGGCGACTCAACAAGGTCAAAGTTCATCAATTTGAAAACTTGTTTAGTGAGTTGACCTCACTAGTGTCTATGAGTAATCGGTGTAATGAAAGTGATATGGTTACCTAGGGAGTGAGAGATTGACTACACTCTCTCTTTCTGTGTGCATAAGTTTGGTCTGAGACCATTGATTGCAGTTGCTTCAGCAAATCGTAATAGATTCGCTGTCCTTTGTATGTTTAATATTTTGAAGGATTTGGAAATCTCGACAAAATGGCCCGTATCCACAAAGTGTCTGGTAATTGCACTTTGTAAATATTTGCTTCCTTTTAAACATAAGTTTCTCGGAATATTCTCTGAAAACCGGATAGAAGCCCTTCTTTCTGTCCTTCCGATGTACTTGCTGCCGCAGGTGCACGTAAATTTATAAATGCAGTTGGAGGTAACATCAGCAGGGTATTTATCCAGTTTCGATTGGCTTATAGAGCATGTAGTACTATATAGTGTCACCAGATTGGCTGCAGGGAAGCATCCCTTTATTGCTCCTTTCATCCTCTTTTCAATCTTTTGCGATACAGTTTCTCCTTTGTATGAGAGGCAAATGAACACTTTCTTCTTTTCAAATGTTGGATACTTCTCTTTCTCATCTCTTTCTTTGCTGTACTTTAGGATAAATCCTTTTGGATACCCGTTTTCCTTAAGGCATTTTTCAACAAAGCTTAATTCTTCTTCTATCTTGTTGGGCGAACATAACTTCCTAGCCCTGTCGTACAGTGTCCTTAGTAATCCCTGTCCTTACTACTACTTAGATTTCAAACAAGAAGGTTTTGCATTGACGAAATTGAGTCTTCTGACTCGATACTTGTATACTTCTGTTATTTCTCTTACTCATGCTGCAGAGACTTCATGGTTCTGTTATCATTCTTGATTATAAATACTATCGGTTCTTCATGAAATCTAATGCATGAGTAGCATTAAGGCTAAGACACTTAATATACACACGATCAAACAAACATGAGGATTTCTGTTGGAAGTGAGAAGAAATTTGAGGTGAAGCAAACAAACTGGTGTCAGGTACTGCCAGCCATAGGTGAAATCACGGTAGTAAACGAAGATAAACTCTCAGGTAAAATCAAATTATGGCATATACACATTGGATCATTGGAATTATTAAAAAGACGGTTGCAGCGAAGAAAATTTTCTTTTCAACGAAGTCACCGTCAACTAGACAACTGTACATACGCGTATTTATAATAAATGTGTGGGAAAGTTCCAGAATAATTTCCAGTCAAGGGTCAAATTAATAAAATTGCAATTAGGAATTAAAATGACATAATAAGCACGCAATGGGGAGGGACGGATAAAACTCAATCAAAGTAGCATCATAATTACTGGGAAGATTGACACATTGTACAATCGGTGGTTGGAAATGTAGAAATAACAAAAATAGACAGGATGTAGGGATAATAAGTCTAGTGGGACCATGACTAATATGACGAATAATTGTTTATGCAGTTAGGGATTAAATATGTAGAAATAGTCAAGTGACGAAAATAGACAGGAAGTTCAGATATGAAAATATGGTAGTGTAAACAGGAGAGATTAAGGAAAATTTAAAATAACATGAATAAACAGGAAGTTTGGATAAGAAAGGCAATAGGATAGTCACTATGAGAGGAATTACCTGTTTATGATGGCCATGGCAGGCAGAGACAAGGGTTGGACGTATTTCTTTAGGATACATAGTGTGTTTGAGCTTTTGGATAGCTAGTGTCTCGGCTATGCCCAGATGTCTTGATTTTACTCCTTCTGATAGGATTGATCGAATCTTGTATATGACATTGAAGGATTTCTCGAATGGCGCTGTATGTCCTGAAATGACTAGATGTTCTGTCACTGGACTATATACACGTATTCGTTTTCTTTTTACTAGTCAGGCTGCATAGTGTTCACGAGCGCATTTTTCAAGTTGGCGCATCGTACGGCCGATGCACTCAGTCAGCTTTTCAGGAGCAGTTGAACTAGTACATGCAAGATGAAGTGGCCCAATGTGATAGCTTGCCTTTCGCATTCTGGCTGAACAGTTTCTTGCAGGAAAACGTCAGTAGTAGGCTTACGGCGAAGTATGTTTTCCTCAGAGATTTTCAGAGGTGTTTACGAATGATTTCTGCTTCGATGTCACCTTTCAATTCTAGACTAAGCATAAGTATCTTCTCCGGGTCGAATAGGACTTGTTGAGAAGTCTTCATTGATTTGAGATTCTTGTCTATGAACTTTGGCGGAAAACCCTTCTCCATCAAGGTTCATTGGAGATTGCGCAGTTCTTCGTCAATCACTTCCTAGCTGAGTACCTTCCGAATCCTCGACGAAGGAGCGCATATAAGGTTCCACTTCCTGCTAAGGGGCACAAAGCTTTGAAAATTGATGAATCGTCAATTCCACGTAGGATTTTTGTATATGGACCTTTTCAGAGAGTTGTTGGCATTTCCTGTCAGATGGACATCGAGGAGGTGGAACATTCCGTCGTATTCAGCTTCAAGAGTAAAGTCGATGTTCTGGTGGGCATTGTTGAAGGTTTGAAGTAAGTAATTATGGAAGTATAGTCAATGTATATTTTGTAGAGATGGAGGTCCTCGGTAGTTGATGATAAGGGGTTGTTTTCTAGGCTAGCCATAAAGCAGTCAACCGGGAGAGGTCCTAGGGGAGAACCCATTGCTACTCCATCTACTTGCCTGTATTTTTCGTTGTTGAAAGTAAAGTATACGTTGAAGGCGCATCGTAGTAACAGCTCTTTTAGGTAATGGATCGGTATACCGACGTCGATGGTATTGGATTGATAAAATCAGATTGATTAGAAGGAAAATCTTTAGAGCTAAGACAACGAAAAGGGTCTCAATGTGGCACTTTTCAATTGTAATAATAATAATAGCTTTATTCCGGACAGTCTTTAAATAGTCTATAGAACTTTCAACGGAATTTACTGTGTCATAGTTTCTCTTTGTTCAAGATCTCCAGGTTATAAAAGTAATTGACGCTTGGTCCCTTAACAGAATACTACCTGACTTGAAGCGAAAACTGATCCCTAATGGCATTTCTTCTTTCTCTCCTTTGAAAAATGCACAATATTTGGTTGAAAATCAATAAGAAAAGTGTACGAGTTCATTTCCCATCCAAACATGTAATTGAATAACTATATACTACAGGTGGGTAGTTTTATTGTCTTAGGAGTGGTAGTCTCTACTGAAAATCTTAGGGACAGTTATCTCACGAATTGGGATATGTCCACACAAACGATTATGCTTTTTCTCAAGTTTAGTAGTAAGTTATGAATCAGCATGTTGTAAGCTTTTTAAATACTCGTGAGTGTAGGAATTACCACTAGAAGTCATATTTCAATAGATTCAAACAGAATGAACAATAGAAATTATATACAATATAATGATGGAGGCTTTTGACGCCCGAAGTTTTAGATAGCCCGCCGGTAATTCGAGTTAAATGGCCAGTACTTCGGATATAGACAAAGATGGTGTAGATAACCAAGCAGCAGCAATAACAACCAGCACAAGTCACCATCAAATGAAGAGATTAAACAGCAGTGACTTCCTCCACTTATGTAGGCAGCAAGCATTGTTTCAACTACAGTTGGTGGAAAGGACGAAGATGTTAAAGTCAGCCGGAATCGGAAAGGCAGGATACGCTTTCATCAACCTGAAAACAATTAGGAAATCTCCTGTACTACCTCAGCTGGCACAAAGACCAAGATTCAGGCTTTCAGCGCCAATGCTAAATACGTCAGTTGTTCTATACACGTTTGAAACTTGCATTGCATGTCATGAAAAGCATTTCCAGCAAGTTACAGACTTTTATCAACAGCTGCTCGCTTCTCCGGCTCCATGCTGAAGATCAAATAGCCAGCCAGCCAGTCGGCCAGAAAGAATTGGCAATAAGAAGCTCTGGCAACGAGTCAATCAAGAGACGGTCGCTTAGTAAATATGTAAGTGGAGGTGGAAACTGATCGGGCATACATTGAGGAGACCATCGAATGACATGGCACGCCGAGCCATAGCTCAAGTGGAACTCCAGTGGGAAGCGACGAGCGAGTCGTCGGCGTGAGGATGACATGGACGAGATAGTGTGGGGAAGAGGAGATAAGAGATTATAGGCAGTCGTGTAGCTAGCCAGCTGATGATGGCGGAGAATAGAAGAAAGTGGAGGTGTGTTGTTGAAGCCCTATGTTCTACTTGAAACCCAAGGGAATAATAATAATTTCAGAGATACACAAATAATGATAACACAGGCCTTCGAAATGATTAGCTTTAGTCTTTTAGCTTACTTTGTAAGATTAATTACAAGATGCAGTTCGACCTGAGTGGATATTGCTTTCGAAATGCGATGCTGT